TGTGTTCGTAATTTTAAACGCTGTTTGTAAATATGCGTTTTTCAACAATTTTGTCGCTACTCTAGTCTTCCTTTCAGCATGAAATGAGGTCAGTTTTTTATCTTGTTTGTTTCCTTAGGTTTTACTTCTGTTTCTCTGTTTCGGTTTTATAGTTCGCTTGCAGATAATAGTTGTTAGTTAGCATTTATTTATAAAATATATTTCTACTGTATTGGAGTGCACGGTTTACTTTCGGTTTGTATCCTCATGTAAAGTATGCTATGGCAAAATAAAAGAAGGTGATGTCAACAAATGTTTACATAGTTTATAAGAAACATAAATATTGCTCAGAAGGTGTTTTTACTAGATAAAATAATTTGTTTTGTTTTTTTGTAGGCTAAGCAAAATCCAGCATTTTGTGTTCTGTAACATGCATCAGAATTCAGATAAAACTAATGCAGTGGAATTAATTATGACTCGAGACGGTAAAAATGAAAATTTAAAGATTGGTGGAAATTCCTTAAATATGTAAGTATGAATTTGTTTGTCACTTCATATTGTGTTTACAGTTTGAACAAGGAAATATTTGGCTTTGAGAAATTACATATTGTTTGTTACTTTCAACTAAGAAACTTACGTACTACATAACATTACCCTTCCTATTTCATAAAATATCATAGTTACTCATTCAGTTCACAACTCCATTGGTATATGAACCAGACTACACCAAGATTTTCTTTTCTTCTTCTTCTTCTTCTTCTTCTTCTTCTTCTTCTCCTCCTCCTTCTTCTCCTTCTCCTTCTTCTCCTTCTTCTTCTTCTTCTTCTTCTTCTTCTTCTTCTTCTTCTTCTTCTTCTTCTTCTTCTTCTTCTTCTTCTTCTTCTTCTTCTTCTTCTTCCGGTGCCTAATATTTTCCTCCATTCTTCTCTATTTTCCCATCCTTCCGGAGGTAGTTTCCACTCTGTCATGGTTCTTATAATCCTGTCGTTCCATCCTGGTCTCGATCTTCTTCTCTTCCTTCTCTCTTTTGGTTGTCATTTCATAGTCTTCTTTGCTAACCTTTCCTCTTCCATCCTTTGCATCTGTCCATACCAAATCAGTTGTCTTTTCTCTATCTCCTCAATTATATCTTGATCCATCCTCATGATTTCTCTAATCCTTTCGTTTCTCACTCTCTCTCTTCTGGAAATTCCAGCCGCTCTTCTTAGGAAATCCATTTCCATTATTCTCAACTTATTTTTTTTTTGTTCCGAGAGTTGCCAAATTTTTGCTCCATAAAGAACCACGACCAAGATTTAAAATAATAATATAAAAAAGACCATTTGGCTGCATACTATATTTGCATTGCGTAAAAAAGTAATGAAATTTAGAAGTTAGTTTAACCAGCCATTCAATATTGTATCAAACTTACACAAGCCTTTTGATACACTACTAATATTTGCTTTAATTTTCTAGTTTTGAGTAGAATATAAGCGATGAAATGCACAATATAAACTAATTCCTATTTTATCAGTCTACTTTCCACTATTCATTTAGCAGAATTTATTGATGTGAATGGTTGATTAATTAATATGGAATATGAGAGTGATGAAATAGGAATTAACAAATAATGTTCTACTTACAAAACATTGGCCATTGTCATTAATATATCACGAATGTGTGCATATCTAAGATAATTATCGTGTTACATTCCTGTTTTAATGTGGAAATTGTCTAAACATTTTGTCATTCCTATGGCACACAATATGCCTTTCTGTGTGACAGCTATTCATGAAAGTGTAAAGGTCAAATTCTTATAATTAATAATGAAAATAAAATAGAAAAGTTCTTGAACTGACAGTTGCTATTTAGCCACAAATCCACTGTGTGTTAATTTTCAGAGACACTATGGCATCAAAAGATAGAACGAAAAAGGAGAGAAAAGATGACGTTCCAAATTATGAATCTGTTGCTTTCCACAGACTGGTAAGCTATCATGATTTGAGGATGATTTGAATTCAAGTACTTATGAATGCTGAAAGTGGAGACAGTGAAGTTTTATAGAATTCCAAATATCTGACAAAAATTATAAGAGAACATTAAAATGATAAAATACTAAAATTTAGAGAATATTTTGTTCCGTACCATAATGCAAGCCATTAGATATCAACTTCACATCCCAGTGAAGTTTTGTGTGATTTGTGATGGAAACCATGGTATTAAGTCAAACTCAGGCTTCACTTGAGAACTTTTGTTTTCCCCTGCTAATTGTTGTCCTGCTGACTTGCCATAATTTTCTCCTTGCCCCTGAGATGAGCCACAGGCCCAACCAATCAACATATTACTGTAATTTCAGATTTTAGTTGGAAGTTTATTTCTAACATGTCACTTGACTGGACTCAGTGTGAAAATTTTGTGCTTGCCAACTCACGTTTTTTAGTTGAGTGGGTATACAAGGATCTGGATATATTTTATCTATGGTTTAGAATTATGTGTTTGTCTCTTATGTGTGAGAAATATAAATCTCTGAACTCTGAAACAATGTGCTTGAAATTTGCTATATAACCAGAATTTCTTGTTTTATATTTTTGTAGTTCCGATATGCCACATATCTTGAGCGATTCTTCATCTTCTTTGGTCTACTGCTAAGCATTTTCTCAGGAATTGGTATACCACTTATTATCATGCTCTATGGTGAATTTACTACTCTGCTGGTGGATCGTTCTCAGGACAATGTTACTTCATCACCAACTACAGTGCTCAACATATTTGGTGGAGGAAGACAATTGTAAGTTACAGGCAGCATTACACGTAATTCTTGTCCTTACATGTAGAAAATATGAAGTAAGTGTTAATTTCAGACTTCATGGTGTATGTACTTTGAATATACCCTTGTATATGTCATAAGATGCACTTTCTTGTCTTTAAGTTCTTGAACCAGATGTCTAAAACTGATTTCCACATTTGTGTTATATATTTTTTTGAAGTCAGTTAAACTTTTCAACAAATATTATTGATTCCAATTTTCTGACTGCCACTGTATAGAACATTGTGGTGTAAGAGTCTTAAGTGTTTTAATGACTGGCAGGATAATTATTTGTACTTTAGAATTAATGGTAGTTATGAAGAAAGGAATGAAGCTTTGATGGAGGATTCGGCAGCGTTTGGCTTGGGTTGCACTGTAGTTGGGATAGTGCAGTTTGCTATTGGATCATCGAGTATTGCAGTGCTGAACTTTGTAGCACAGAAACAGGTAATAAATATTTACATTATACTTTGGACTGTTTCTGTAGATACATTTATTATATTTATCTTGACTTCCAAGTCAAGAGTGGAAAGGTGTATGATATTTGAAGAAATAAAGATAACCTACATATGTTTTCTTTGGAGTATTGAACCAAACTATATAGCTAGGGGATCATTAACTTTAACTATGTTAGACAGATTAGTAAGGTTAACGTGAACACTGCCTCTGTTATCATATTCTGTTGATAAAGCTAGTGAACAGAGGTATAGTGTTTAGTCATAAATATTTTTATTTATTCTATTAACTGTAAATCGTATCAAAAATGTTTGAAATAAATTGTAGATTATTAACAGATTTGCATTTCTTACTAAGACTCAAGGTTTTCTATGACTGAAAGATAAATATAACTCAATGCCCCCACCAAATATAGCTGCCTCATTTGGTCTGAGAGCAACAGTGACAGTAAGTAGGTCATTCATATGACTATTGTAATACTGTATGTAATTTCAGATTGGCAGGGTAAGAAAATTATTCCTACAGGCAGTACTACGCCAAGATATGACATGGTATGATACTACCAAGACTGCAAACTTTGCCAGCAGAATTACAGAGTATGTGTTTGTCAACACATTATCCACTGTACAGTACTTTTTTCTTGCCTAACAACAGTCATATTTAATTTTTCTAATTTATTATTGTTCTGGGTTCCTGTTAACACAATAATAAATCTTCAGGCTTTACATAAGTCTGAAAATTAATTGAAAAATTGAAGAAGTGCCAAAAAATGTACAATGTATTTTTAAGTAATGTAAGTGGCACAGAAACTTGGTACCGTATGTTATGAACTGCTGTTTGATTTTACAGGGACCTGGACAAGATGCAAGATGGAATTGGGGAGAAGATGAGCATCTTTGTATACCTCATTACTATATTTGTTGCTTCAGTTATCATGTCTTTTTTAAATGGCTGGAAACTCACTCTTGTTGTAATCAGCTGTGCTCCAATAATCATTGTGGCTCAATCAGTAGTGTCAAAGGTACATATAAACACAAATAGCTAATATGTTACAGACATAAACATTTGAAGGTTACCTTATTTTCTCAAGACATAGTTTTTTTCATATCCAACATTACATCACTCATCACCCTGATGATGGATGCAGCATGGATCTCTGGAACGTCGGTAAACTTCTACAAGACTACAACAACCCAGAAGACACCCATCTTTAACATTACAGGAGCTGGTTTTCATCCAGTGTTTGAGATTAGCTTTTTTAAATTCTCTTTCAGATTGGGTTTTCTTAGCCTGTAGACTTAAACAGAATGTGGATAAATTTTAAGAATCCGTTAACTATTTATCCTTCTTCTATTCAGGTACAGACCTCGCTGACAGAGCAGGAGTTGGAGTCGTATGGTGATGCAGGTGCAGTTGTGGAGGAGGTGCTTAGTTCTCTGCGGACAGTGGTAGCATTTGCGGGCGAGGACAAGGAAGTTGCAAGGTAAGAAACTTTTTCTCACATTCATGTTACAAAAATTCTGATGTTTTTGTTTAATAAATCATGACAGTGAAAAATAATGCAAAACTAGGTCTGAATTTCATAAATATCTAAGTATATGCTTAAAAAATGTATGGAATTTGACTCTCCTGACACTTCAGAACAAAGTTTGAAATCTGTGGTTCCTAACTGGTGGAAGTATCCATAATTTATCTATTTTGTTCTTTTTTCAATTTGTTCATTTATTTTGATATCTGCTTATTACGTGACTGCTTTACTCCACCATCTGAATCTTTCACATCATATATCACTTTCAACTTTCATTACCTTTCTCACATGCTATAGAATTTTTAGCACCTGCATACTTTTGAACCAGGCCTTTCACAGAGACTTCTGTGTGTTTATGACTTGTTTTGTATGGAATTTAGAATCTTGATAACTTTGAAGTTGTCAGTGATGGTGTTTTGTAATGTGAAGCTGTGAATTTGTAGATGGTTGTCAACATTTTTGAGGAACATGCTGTCTTTATCTTGAGCCCTAAATATGGAGCTGGTATGTTTCTCTGAAATGCTTCTACTCACTGACAAGTTCACAAACATCACATAAAAGAAGGGTACATCAACAGGACAGATAGCACTCAAAATTAGCATACATTTGGTTTTATATATTAAGATAATTCTATTTTTATTTCAGATATACAGACAAACTTAGTAAAGCGAAAGCTACAGGTATCAAACGAGGCATGTTCTCTGGTCTGGGAGCAGGCATCATGTGGTTTATTATCTACTGCAGTTATGCTATTGCATTCTGGTATGGTGTAAATCTCATCTTGGAGTCAAGAGAGAAAGGCGACCATGAATACACACCAGCCATTCTTGTCATTGTAAATATCACTTATTATTTTATTGTGAGTTCAGGTATAATAATCTTTGTGCATCCCCAATGGAGAAATATTATTTTGGACAGTAGTACTAAGCAGGGCATGCACAGAGTATTTCACATTAACCTTCCTCCCTGCCCTAAAGATGCCAAGATAAATTAAGCAAACAGTATATTCTGGAATGTGGACTTTCTTTTCTTAAACTAGAGAGGATGCATTAACCCTCTGAAGCCAAAACGCATCTAAATTATATTCAAGAATTTAGTTCTTATCGTTGCCTCTGAAGATTTAATAGTAAGTTCATGGACTGCCAGCTGTAAATAGCTTCAGAAGGAAAAATGCAAGTATAGTCATTGCAAAGTGTTATGGAACAAAAGTTGTAACCAATTAGGAACTGCTATTAAGATGAAGGTCCCAGGATAAGAGCTTTCTTTTTATACTTTTTTTATACATGTCATGACAATAAATTGATGGTACTGATGATTTTGCTCTCTGAAGAGCATGTTATATTATTTGATCTTAAATATTTGTGAGAAAAGTGGTATTAGGTGTGTGGTATACAAGACAACACCATTTTACTGTTATAATCGTACTTGAAACTAGGGATCTGCTTTTTTGCTCTGTCTTCAGGTTTAAAACCTAACCATTAATTAGGTGCCGGCTGTAAACCTGTTACATAATGATGACGTGATTAGTACATGTATTATTCAGAATTGATTACATCAATCAACATGATGCATTCAGAATATGAGGTTTTTGCAGCAGTGTGAGTTTCGATTGTGGTCCTTTGCACTTTTAAGATAAAGGCAGCTTGTTCCTCCAAAATACTGGTATACAAACAGAAAACTGTATGGTGTGACAATCTATAAGACCACATTATATTTTTAAGCAGTTTGTACTTACCAAATTATACTTTAATTAATTACCTCAGGTTTATATTCTGTAACAGGTTCTGTTTGGAGTATTGTCTGGAGCAATGAACATGGGCATGGCATCCCCTCATCTTGAAGCATTTGCTGTGGCAAGAGGATCAGCAGCTGCTGTCTTTTCAGTCTTGGATCGTGTGCCATACATTGACAGTCTGAGCAAGGCTGGGCAAAAACCATCACAACTCAAAGGTGTCATTCAGTTACAAGGAGTTCACTTCCAATATCCAGCAAGACCAGAGGTTGAAGTAAGTTTCGTTTATTTGTCTTTTTAAAACAGAGAAGTTTATTGTGGTACCTTACAGATATCAGATGAGATGGCTTCCTGATCAATGTTTCTCATAACTGTTGCCTCACTCTGCATAAAAAACATATATTGATAGTGTTTCAGGACAAGTGTTAAGAATATTTTAACTTAACAAAGAGTAAGTAACAGTAGGCTGAAGAAAACTGTATAATTATTGTTAAAATGTATCTTAGATAAAAATAATGTAAAGATGTGATGAACCTTTTGAGTTCAAAGACAGTAAAGAATTTCTTGACCATCAAAGAAAAGCTAGTTACAACAGTGAAAAAGACATTTTATTTTCAAGAGATTGATATTGCTTGCAGGTACTGCATGGCCTAAATTTGACAGTGAAGAGTGGTGAATCTGTGGCTCTGATTGGTCCTTCTGGGTGTGGCAAGTCAACAATAATCCAACTTGTACAGAGGTTCTATGATCCATCTGAAGGAAAAGTGCTACTAGATGGCATTGATGTTAAACAGTTGAATGTGGGCTGGATGCGGGGTCACATTGGTGTAGTGGGACAAGAGCCTGTGTTATTTGCAACAACAATCAAAGAAAACATTCGATATGGACGGGAGGATGCTACCCAGAAGGAGATAGAAGAGGCAGCACGAGATGCCAATGCTCATGACTTCATCTCAGAGTTACCAGACGTATGTCTTAAAATATAAAATGATGACACTGAAGTTGGGCTTTGGAAGTGCCAAAGCAATGTACATGTAATGTCACAGCTTTTCTTGTGAAGCCAATGAACATATTTGACATAATATGTTAGTTAATGCATATGCATGAAATCTGAGGTTTTCGTGATAGTGAAGGAGACATTGCTTTTATCTACATAATTTTGGAATATCTTTAATTTTTTAATTAATTATGATGTTCCTACCATATCATTACTTGGCTAACAAATTAACTACCTGCTACAGCCACTAAAACTCTGAAATGGAGCCTAGTATACATATATTCAAATCAAATGTTATGTAATATGAGATGTCTTATTATTACATTGGTAGGGCTATGATACAATGGTTGGAGACAGAGGGGCCCAGTTATCAGGAGGACAGAAGCAACGCATTGCAATAGCCAGGGCCCTGATTCGACGTCCAAACATTCTACTTCTGGATGAGGCAACATCAGCACTAGACCTGCACAGTGAGGCCAAAGTTCAGGCCGCATTGGACCGTGCTTCTAAGGGGCGCACAACACTTGTAGTGACACATCGCCTCTCCACTGTTAAGAATGCTGACCGTATTGTGTATATTTCTGGTGGTCAAGTAAGTACTCTAACTTTTACCAGTATGATTAAACCACTCCTACTTCATTTTCTAAAGCTGGCCATTTGTGATATTACAACATGTGCCATGAATGGGTTGGAAAACTGGGATTCAGTTCTTGGCAGAGCAGGATGTTTTTCTTAATTGTAACTTCCAGACTGGTTTTGTGCCCATGTGGCTTTTCTATCTACTGGGGTTCTGTCCCTGGATAAAGTGGGTGAAATGTAAAGCTAACTTCCAACTAATGCTGAGGTGAAGAATGTATTTAGCTGCACCACCAATGTTTCATGCATGGCATGGCACAGCACACAGACACCAGAAACCACTTTACCCTTTTACCTTTATTGGTGCTGGATTATAGACCCAGCGTGAGACAAATTAATGCAGAAGCAATTACTGCTGTAGTTTATTGTATGATCACAAACTTTGTTTCCTTTATTGATTATGTATTCAAACATTTGTAGGTAAAGGAGCAGGGGACACACACTGAATTGATGGCTCATAAAGGTCACTATTTTGCATTGGTGAATGCAGATTCTACTCTTACAGAGGGTGAGTTTTAGTTTGTACATTTTTGAATTGGAAGATCTATCAGAGAACGTAATTGAAGGAAGTGTGACCATTTAATGTAATATGAGATGACATAAAAGCATATTGATTGAGCATTGGGTTTGTATTTAGGAGACACTCTGATTTCCCTTCAATAAGCAGATTTGTGTGGAGGGGAAAATATACGTACATCTGCACTATATTATACATAAGATGATTACTTTAAGATGATTATGACATATTTTATTTGTTTGCCAAAGACAAATACCAGGGTAGTATGTCCTTCAAAAGGGATTATGACCTTTGTCTTCAAAATTGTCTGTGTTTTGTTGCTGGAGAGATGCTGTCGGAGATCATATAATCTCAGAGAATAATGACCTACTGGCTAGTCATGACGACTGATTTTGTCTCATATTTGAATGTATCTCACAAGTACACACATCAACTTCAAAGAGACAGACGCTGAAAGAAGTGCTGCTACCTGCCACCAGGAGTGTTTCCTTAGGACATTGTTCATTGTCTGGAGACAAATTATATATTACGTTTCAGAATCTGTCTCTGTCTCTGCCTTCAGGTAAAATAAAAGGGTATTTAATCTACAGGGCTTATTAGATAAAGTGGTCCCCTTTATTATGGTATATAAATATGTATCAGCAACCTTTAGAACAACATGATGTGCATGTTATCAGTTACTTATGACTACTGATACATTTTGTTGGTCAAATTTGACTTTCATTTGTTGTTTCTTAATTGTGTTTGCTGAGAAACATATGTTTCTTAGACAAATCATTTTTGTAATGCAGGTGCTGGAAGTGGAGAAATGAAACTTCCGAAGAATGACAGTGCAATTAGTGCTGAGAGTCTGACTCAGCAGTTCTCTGCTGAGTCACAAGCTGGAATCAGTAAGGGACCAGTTGAAGTTGCAGATCAAGATGTGAGTCAGTCAGATAATACTTGTATAAAATGTTATTTCTTCCAGCATTTGTTGCAGAGAATAATGGAAGTGAATTAGTTTATTTAAAATCTTGTCTCATATGTGGTATATGAACATTATTATTATTTAAATTTTGATTAATTTTAATAATTAAGTAGGAATTTCTTGTTTCTTCAATGTATTGTATGTGCCCAGCCTGTTCTCATTGGTCTAATTACCCATGGAATTATACAAATTGTTGAATAATAGTTACTTTAATAATGTGCATAATATGTTATGTATTCTTATAAAAGTAGGCTACATATTGTATGAATGGGGTTTGATTTCTGGCAGGGCAAGATTTCTGTTTGTCAGAATGTATAGACTTGCTCTGAGGTACACTGAACATCCTATCCACTGAGATGTGGGACTCTTTCCTCAGAGGTTAAGCAGCTGGGGCATGCAGCTACCCACTTGCATCCTATCTAGCAAAATAAATGGATCAAACCCCATTTATTCAATCCATAGTAAGACACTGTACTGACTAAGCTACCTTGGCTTGCATCCAGTTAGTGCTATGGTTAAAAATGCTTGAAGCTATACATGCACACAGTAATTGCTTATTTTAAAGCACATTCATCTGTTTTAGGCAGAAGAGGAGCAGTATGAAGCACCCCTAAGTCGAATCTTAGCCCTCAATAAACCAGAGTGGCTGCATAGTGTTGTTGGTTGCCTGGCTGCAGCCGCTGTTGGAAGTACTTTGCCTGGATATGCAGTTCTGTTTGGTGAGGTTATTGGGGTAAGCACATTGAAGAAATATTTCATTGCATGAAACCTCATTATTATAATTATTCACTATACAGTGAAATGCCAGTATTACCAACACTGAAGTACTGAAATATTAATTTTTTTAGTGATTGTCTTTCCTGTGCCCACTTTACACATGAATTCAGTACTTCAGCACTGGGGTAGCTCTACCATTACCTTATACATATGTATAAGAATTTCTGTAAAATAACAAAAATATGGGGCATTGAATTTCAGTATATGAAAGTAACATTATAATCTACATATATAATAAGACATTTTTGTTAGAATTGTCATTGTATTTTTAAGTAAATCTTAGACTTTGGCGCAGGGTCCGCATTGGCTGCGCGGTCTGAATCGTGGGCCTTGTGCCGCTTGGTCGCTGGGACTGTGGGTTCGAATCCCACTCAAGCCATGGATGTTTGTCCGCATTTTTCTGTGTTTTGCTGTCCTGTGTACAGGTAGAGGCCTTGCGACGGGCCGGTCCCTCGTCCAAGGAGTCCTACCTAATATCTACAAGTCAAGCCAACAAAAAAGTTGGGACCCGCAGTGTTCAGGCACTTGAAGAATGGGTCGTTCCCAGTAACCCTGTATCCCAGTAGACTTTGGCACAGATCTGATTGATATATTTATAAGGGTCTTCCACAATACTGGTGTATTTAGATATGATAATAATGGAACTAAAATATTTTTAAAGGAAACTATAGCATTTGAATTGTGAGAAACATTACATGTATTGCTTTAGTAGAACTGTGGTTAAATTTCCTCGTGGAAATTTAATGTATTGAATGTACTTAAATTGGGATTATTTATTGAAAATTATATGTGGGAATGTTATCCATAGGCAAATACAACTGCAATTTATTGTGATATTGTTTCATTTTGTGTGATACATTACAACAAAACCATAAACTACAGCAGCAGATTTTCATCAATGTCCTTTAAATTCTAATTCTGAAAGTTTCTATCTCAGTGATGTATCATGACTCAGAAGAAATTCACTACTGTCTGTTGTGTTGAATTCTGTAATTTGTTTAGTGAAATTTTGCAGTTGTCAAAGAAGCTCACTTCACCAACACGAGTGAACAACCTGCAGGGTTAAAAACCCCAATGGCTGAAGTGTAGAATTAATACAGTAGGTTGGATTACATCTATCAGGTGCTGGAGAATCCTGATGCTGAGGAAGTGCAGAGTCTAGTCAGCCTCTACTGCATCTTGTTTGTGGTAGTTGGAGTTGTTACAGGACTTGGGATGTTCCTGCAAGTAAGAGACACTCTATCTTACTATGAGAGGAAAGATATCAATAAGTCAAAGTTTTCATGAAAATATTTGAATCTAAGTTGGACAAAGTAAATGGAAAATTCAGTGTTCTACATAATGTGTAAGTTACACAGGTCACCTGGTATTATTACAGTAATAACATTGAGGAGGATATGGTGGACAAGACATGTAGCTTGGTTGGGACATAAATACATAAAGAATTTTTATGGGGAAACCTGTCTTAGCAGACTTATGAGGAGACAGAGTATAATACTGAGTTAGATTCTGGGGCAATAAGTTGTAATAGTAACAAAACTGAAAAACTGAAATGATGTACTCTTTCGAATACACCGAAATTCCAAATGTGTTCTTTACACCACACAACAGGCATTAATGTCAGCAGGGCAGCGAAGAGAATAACAAAAACAAGTGGTAATTGTTGCAATAATGTGATATGAGGTCATTCTTGCAACAGTGTGAGCCAACTTCAACCTTGGTTTACACTGTTGTGACAGTGTGTTCAAAAAATAACCTCTGTTTTTCAACATTGACCTGAGGTCATGTGGTTGACTAATTCCTATGAAAACTGTAACAGACAGTCATGATTGGCCCATAAGGTGTAAAATGCACCTAACAGAACAGCTTCCAGTATGATTCATATGTTGATAGAGTTTCCAATAAAATGCATTCTTATTAAGTACTCTACTGCTACCAACATCAAACTTCCAAATTGTTTGTGTATATCAGTTGGTATTTCAATATGTGATGTATGTGAAGCAGAATTAAGTATATCACATTTCTTGGTTTAATAAGAACACTACGCATTAACGTTTATGTTAATCTGAATTTATTGACTGCGTGTTTCATGTTTTTGAAAAGGATTTTATGGTCATGTATGTCTTGTTTTGCTGTCCTAACAGATATATTTATTTGGACTGGTCGGTGTTCGCTTAACTGAACGGCTGCGAGTTGCAGTATTTGGTGCTGTGTTGCGACAGGAGGTGGGCTGGTTTGATGAACAGAGGAATCAAGTTGGCACTCTTTGTGCCAGGCTGTCAGGAGATGCAGCAAGTGTGCAGGGGGTGAGTAAATTCAAATAATTCTTTGTGTCCAAAAGTGTTTAATTAATAGTTCTACAAACATTTTCGTCCTATACTTGTAAAGGAAATTCCTTGCAGTGACTAACAATACTTACATATTTAATAATTTGTGAATAATGATAAGTAATTGCTTTTAATTGTGTTTACTCTTGCTTCTAGCAGTTAATCTGGTAAGTTTGTTTTATTATGAGTGGAAGGTATTTTTATCTTTATAGGTACTGAAAACAGATTTCCTGGTTTCTGTGTATTCCACTTAAAAAGTGAGAAAATCTTAGTTTCAGCCCAAAGCCAAAGTGATGACATTTTTCACTCAAATCAGAATAACAAATATTAGGTTAGTTGTCTGTGCTTATTGTGCTGTGAATAGCCATGAGAAACTTAACATTTTATTTCATTGTAAAGGATATGCATCTATACTGAAGGAATGCACCTTTCCACTTGATCAAAAACACATTTTAAGCATTGCCTGTCTAGTAGATTAAAGTGAATAGTGTTGAAGATATACCTTTTTTCTTTGTGATTGAAATGCTCAATTTTGCAAATTTACACTTAGCATCTGGTTAAATGTTAAATCAGTGCTAGATACTATGGCACCAGCTTATATCATCTTTCTCTTACAGGCAACAGGGTCAAGGATTGGTGTTATCTTGCAGGTAACATCAACACTAGTAATTGGTATCTTGTTATCATTTATCTACAGCTGGAAGATGACACTGGTGTCTGTAATACCTGTTCCTTTCATTTTTGTGGGAATTTTTATAGAGGCAAGAGTAATGCATGGTCAAGGATTGAAGGAGAAGATTGCCCTGGAGACAGCGGCAAAGGTAAGCCATATTTTGAATGGCAAACTCTTGTTTCATGTTTATTAACTGGTCGCACTAGGCATTCTCATGACTTCTGCAAACTCATTACACCTAATAGTGATGAAGTTAGTAAGTTATCAGAGGCAATTACTTTAACTACTTCAAAAGAGGGTTACTGAAAGTCACAACTGAGTAGTTATCAATCATTCTTCATATTTGGAAAGTCCTGGGTTCAAGTCTCTGTCCAGAGGTCATCTATTCTTACCAGGGTTTCTTATGGCTTACCTTGGTCTTTCAGACAAATGCTGGGATATTACCTTAAATTAGGCCATGACTGCTTCCTTCCATCTCCTTTCCAATTCAGTTAATTATTCTATCATTTGATTGTATATATTCTGAATTAATGACAGCATCATCAAAGATATAAGTAAATAATATATTGTGATATTTGATCTATATATAATTTGGATATTTTAGTTCTCATGGCAATGAGTATGAAAATGGCTGTCTTTAGTGTTGTTACACTGTGTAATCTGGTACAAGTTTACGGACATTTCAGAAGTGTTGGCTGCCTCCATCATCAGGGTGGTAGCAAGCACCTCTGAAACATCAGTAAACTTATACCAGACTACATGGTGCAACAACCCGAAAGGTAGCCATCTTTATATATAAGTTACTCTTCTTTCTTTATGCAAACTGATGTCTGCTTCTTCAGATTGCTGTAGAGGCTATAGCAAACATCCGCACTGTGACAAGTCTGTGTGGTGAGCAGCTATTCCTTGAGCGTTACATGACAGAATTACTGTCAGCTCAGCAGGCTGCTAGGCGGAAGACTTATCTCCGTGGACCCGTGTTCTCTTTCGGACAAACAGTACCATTTTTTGGCTACGGGCTAAGTCTCTATTATGGCGGTTATTTGGTTAGCACTGAAGGACTTCCTTACAAGAATGTTATCAAGTTGGTACATCTTATAATTACTATAAACTCAACAGTTAAGTTTCTAATGCTTAGAAATGTAATATTATATTCAGTTTTTAAAGCTTATTTTCATTCTAGGTTCACTGATCATGACCTCCTAATATATGCCATTGTTATTTATTATGTCATGTTTTGAACCTCAAAAAGTGTATGAAGATATACTGAATTTCATTGAGTTTGAAATTTTGGATTTTCCCCAAAGGTTCACATAAACAGCAGTGATAATTTTTATTTAAAATCATTCCTGATTACCTATACTGTTAATGGAATGCAGAAGTAATATCATCATAGGGACTTTTCTTATAAAATAATTTTCCAGCTGTTATCCCATCATTACCTCAGTATAACACAAAATTAAATCATAATAATTAAAACAGTTAATTTATTTTACTCCATGCAGAATGTTGTGGAACACAATTCAGATCATAGCTGCAGGGGGATTTACCTTTCCTGATTTTTCATAATTTTTCTTAGCCCTTTCAGGCAAATGTCAGAATATTCTCTTCAAATACACCAGTATTTCTATCTCCCCACTTTTTTCAATACACATTTACTATCACACATCTCACAGGATACTAAATAACTTCTATATTTGTGGAACAGTATGTTCTAATGGCTGCCAGTCATGTTTTGTGTTTGAAGGAGCCACAGTTCAAATCTCTGATAGGAGATAATATAAAACCTGTCAGTACCTCATATAGATAATTATTCTGGAATTTAATGATGGGGAAGTAGAATTTTGAGGTTATATTTATTACATTTTCCTGAATAAAAACTGTGTCTTTGGCAGAGTGTCAGAAGTTCTTATATTTGGAGCTTGGATGCTTGGACAGGGATTGGCATTTGTTCCAAACTATAACACTGCTAAAATGGCAGCTGGGCGAATGTTTCGTCTCATGGACAGGAAACCTCGCATTTACTCTCCTCAGGTGACAGGCAGCAGTTACTGGGTAAGTGATAACTAAATAGTTATTATTCCATGCATTCTTCAGTTAATGCATTACTTATTTAGTGGTATGATAGAGATTTATCTAGTTATGCAAAAATCATGGGGTTTTGAGAAAATACAAACCAACAAACACTTTGTATACCATAGAGTAATGATTACCATACCATAACAATGCTAATAACAACCCACATATTTATAATTGTTATCCCTTAAGGCCCAGATCGATGCTATATAGTCTGAGCTACTGAGAAGCATCATTAAATAAAATATAAATAAACAAATTTAGGTCCAGAATCCTGTAACAGCAGCATGTGACCCACCACCCAACCAATTTATCTATGATGTAGATAAATTTATTATTCATACCATTTGACATATTTCAGATCCAAAGTCCATTCTCAGTATTATTATGTTTTCAAATTAAAATTATTATAAGTGCTTTACTTATGCATTTCTTGTGATGTGGAAGTTATGATTTGTAGGACATTTATTGTCGATATGCATATTTTTAGGTATAATTATAAAACAGGAGATGGTTTCAATATAAAATTGTACCTCTCAGGGGTCTGACTTATTTTATGTGTATTTGGACTGCAGTGAAATAGAAATTTTGCGATAATTATGAAAGCCACATAACCTGAATGTGTACAGATAGGTTTATTTTGATGCCCATAATATTTCCTGCAGGAAGCTACGGGCAACGTTGAGTATTTGAAAGTGGAGTTCCACTATCCAACAAGACCTGAGGTGCAAATTTTGAGAGGACTGAATCTCCGGATATGTCCAGGTCAGACTATGGCTCTAGTAGGATCCAGTGGATGTGGCAAATCAACTTGCATCCAGTTGCTGCAACGATTCTATGAGCCTTCAGCTGGGACAGTGGTATGTAATTCCAACAAAAAATTAAACCCAATAACATAAACTTGTGTGAACACTTTCAGTATTTAACATTTGTAAATTTAATTTAGTTTAATTCAATGGATTTTTATGATAGCAGAACACCTCATTTATATGTCTTCTATGTACTCTGTGTTACAAATTTATTAGCCATAGTATTACTGTTGTTGTGACATCAAGGTGTATGACATGGACCTATTTAACTTAAATCTATTTTGTTACTACAACAACACTTTTACTCTCAAATGTGTTGTTTTGTGTGTTGCATGTATTGTCAGAATATTAATGGAGAAGATATAAGTACAGTTCAGCTCGATCGCCTACGAGCACAGTTTGGTATTGTGTCACAAGAACCTGTTCTCTTTGACCGTACAATTGCTGAGAACATTGCATATGGAGACAACAGTCGCGAGGTTCCAATGGAAGAGATCATTGATGCCGCTAAGAAATCAAACATTCACAACTTTATATCGTCTCTTCCACTGGTGAGTCATATTCCATTTTGAGTATGGTATTTGCATAATATCTGCCAGGAAATACTTTGGAAATGCACAGTAAGGATAGCTGGCTCAAGCTGAGAACTGAATTATGTACCTTCCAGATAGAAGTTAAACACAGTACAGTCAAAAGTTTTTGGTGCCATGCTGGAGAACACTCCCTTTTCGGCTGTCTGTGACTGCTTATACGGTTTTCTCTTTCTTCTAGGGATATGAAACAAGATTGGGCTCAAAGGGCACACAGTTGTCTGGAGGCCAGAAACAGAGGATTGCCATTGCAAGGGCACTGGTGAGGAACCCCAGAGTGTTGCTGCTGGATGAGGCGACATCTGCACTAGACACTCACAGTGAAAAGGTAGAAGAAGTAATTCATATTCTGTTTTAGTTGGACCATGAAGTTTTGTATCAGGTATTGTTGTGTACATTTCTGTTAGTTAGTCATCAAAGCTTGGAATCAGATTAAGACATTTAAAATAATTATAATCGTAATACTTCTTGAAACCTGCATTAGAAGTTCTGAATCTTAAGGACACCTGTTGAGAGAAAAATTGATTTTGCTCTCTTCTACACTTTTAAATCTCAAGAATCAAACTAAGGTCTTTTGAAAGTGTAACAAATATTCAATTAGAAGGAATTTTCAAATACAAAGTCTGATGTCACAGTAATCTAATTCAGGCCACTTGGGAAACTAGTGCCACTTAATATAGGGTCTTGAAAATTTTGTGAAGGAATAGATCTTTATAAGGACATCCCACTTTTGTTAAGGTAATTTTTTGTAGAATGCTAAGCAACTTGGTGGGAAAGTGAAATCTATATTTAGCTTCCTTTAGATGGTGATAACTAACGAACCTTTTTGACTAAGAATGTAAAATTTTGTAGGAGACAGATAATGAACATGTCTACAAATTCTGTACGAACAATGTTTTTTATGTTAATAGATACAAACATCGTGATGGTATGAAACTTTGAGGATATGTCAGAATATGTATTAGTAGCATAATGCACAGAAATCAGTCATTTAATTCTAAATTATGTAATTAATATTTTATAATCATTGCTAGCCTCACCATATGGAAGCATTTGAATGGAAATTGGTATCTCTGGATCATCATATTGCAGATATTGGAATGATGATGTAAACGAGAAGAGTGAGTTCCTATGAAGATGCACAAGACATAGAGTTGTATCTGCAGCTTACTATATGTACTGAAGACATCATTTGCTGGAATTTTATAAAAAAATGTTTATTTTATTTTAAATGTATGTTTGACTCCTTATAGACTTCATATGATTATATATAGGTGGTGCAGGCAGCTCTAGACCAGGCAAGAGAGGGACGCACCTGCATCACTATTGCACACCGCCTGGCAACCGTTCAGCAAGCGGATGTTATCTGTGTGTTGAATCAGGGAGTTGTAGCAGAGATGGGATCTCATTCTGAGCTGCTAGAGAAACAAGGACTGTATTGCCAGTTGCTGCGACAAGCAGCAAGTAACATTATACAATAAACATCATTGTAGATTCTGAATTGCAATTTTTGTCTTCCATATATGTGCCTTCATACAGCCGTGTGATGCCCAGTATTTAAATTGAATCCATCATTTTGAAAGCATCCAATGCCAGTCTCTAACATACCAATGCTCACACGACCATTATCAAAGAATTACAAAAAGAAACCTATGTAGGATTTGAGGTTCATGGCAGTGAGTCTGAAAATGGCTGTCTTCTGGGTTGCCACGCCATGTAGTCTGGTAGATGTTTACCGACGTTTCAGAGGTCGTTGCAAAAAAACCTATTGGATAACTTTGAAGCCACCTATGTTTCTTATCTCCTTTTTTATTTAGTTGTTTATTATTTATATTTTGGATCTTTCTTTATGACTGAGATTCAGATAAAAACATTGGCAAAATTAATAATATTTAGTTGCATTTTCATTGGTGCTGCCTGAAGGCAGAAGTTCTGCAGACTTTAAGCCCAGTATGCTGCATAGCACTATCACCCTCTTCCCCGTTCCACAGTACGTACGACCCTAATCACCTTTACGAATTTTTATGCATGATTCTCAGTAAGGTCGGCTTGTCTAAAACCCTTCTTACCGAGCGAAACTATGAAACATTACTTTCTTGAGTGCATGTATATAATATTGTCACAATAGATGTCATGACTGATGCTATTTGTCTGACCCACTAGCGTGCACATGCTCACAATCTCGCTGATGATGTTGGAGTTGTATAACCTGTAGGTGCAATTTAGTCGACGAACGCAAGGAATGTTATTAGTGCATGATGGAAGTAAAATGGAAATTGGCATTCACAACAATTGGCCGTGTCTAGAAGCAACTGCTCTTACGTCATCATGTGACATTCTTTCAAATAGGTTATGACTGCAAGGAAACCAAATTGTCAATTGACTTTTGCCCTTCTTCTAGTGACTTGTGTTACATAAATGGGACACTATACATGCGCCAAACGTTCTTGAATTATAGAGGATAAAGAGATGTTTTTAGTTGTATTTTACAAAACAATTTTTCTTTATATGCCAGCTAATGAATACAGAGCAGGATGATGTAGACTTACCAATTACGTATTCAATTAGCAAAAGTAGTTCCGTCGCATTCTTTTTATACGAATGAATATGGCAGAATGTATAAAACGCAATCATTAAAAGTAAGTATGCTAATATAACAGATACACTAGCATTTATACTGTGTTGAAATTGGTTAGTGTCATATAATCATAGTTATTTATTGTATTATTTTCCTGAACAAGATTCCTATCTTTTATGTTATATAATTTACTGGTTGAACATCCAGATCGAATCATATTTCACAAATTAAAGCAGGGTTGCATGATTTAGTGGGAAACGGCCGGTTATAAAGCTGACTAGGTACATCTTGTGTCGAGGTTATGAATGTTTTAAGTTACACCTCCACTCCCCAATACGTCTTCATGTCATAGTGCTTTATAAGAGCTTAAAGACAACTTTGCCTTTGCTATTACTATAGTTGCTTCATTCCCCGTTACAAATCGGGCATCCATTTATTTGGGACAAATCTTAAAGAACAAACCTTTTTAACTCTTTACGTGGAATTTCGCATAATTGGGCCGAAGTGTTATAGTCCCGATGAGTACCAATTAAGCGGAATCCACTGTGTAAAGTCCATTCTAAGTCGTGTTAGCTGAGTTATCTATTTCTGCGGTTTCCATCTGCTAATTATCATTCGACTATTGCTTCAGTTTCATCTACCACGAGATGTCCGATAACCCTATCCAATCATCGCATTATCATACCATCGGTCTTATGTTGGGGGTGGGGGGTTTTTCTCTCAGACCCGGCACTAAGACCCAGCAATATCAGCGGAACTGTGAGGTACTTAATTTGAGTTATCAGCCAATTTTTTGCCAGTAAATACGATTTGAAGTTTTCTCTGTTATCATCAGAACGATGAGTTATCGTCCTGATGACAGAGGCAGCAAGGACCTCTGAAACGTTGGTAAACTTCTACCATATTGCACGACGCTACAACCCAAAAGACAACCATCATCAGTTTTTAGTCGGATAAATCCATTAATTTAGTACTTTCAGAAAATTTCGTTAACCTTTGTATTGGAAGAAGTAAAATGTATTATTTATTTACATACTATTTCATTTTAACTTAATTACTGTTCATGCAGGCAATTATTACATCAGAACTAACTTCTGTTTATAAAACTGTAGACAACTTTCTAACCAGATTAATACTTCCGTTGTTGTGGTTTCTTTTTCTATGGTAGATATACTCATAGATGAGACGGAGATATTAAGATGGGTCTTAGAAAGTAGGATGTAAGTGAGTGGAGTGGATTTATCTGGCTCGGGATAGGGACCAGTTGTGTGATCTTGTAAATTCGGTGTTATGATAGGATATGATGACAGTTAGCTTCTCAAGATTGATTCTCCTCCATACAATGTGCTGGAGTTACTTAGGATATTATTTCGATACCGTGAATAAGATGATAGTGACGACGATGATGATAATATCTTTAAAACGAATACGGAATTAGCTTGGTATTTTTAATGAGCTTAGCACATCATAAGCACTGTTTCCGTGAGTGTCTGATTATAACATTGGAACCAATGCAGAAAGCTATGTATATTTTAACATAATGCATTGATGTTGAGCGTATAACAGTTAATCTTGTATATCAGAATCTGTAACACAGAACGCAGGCGCAGACTATTTCCATACATTTCCAGCAGCCTGATTGGGACAATCAAAGAAATATGAGATCACTGTGTTTGTAATCGTGGCGGTGTGTGACACAAGTTGAGCTGAAAAGCCTTCGAAGGTAGGGCATTCGCAAATTAATATAACTTAAGCAGGAATTTCTTGGCCAGTTGATTAATTATCAACTTTTCAGAGAAGTCTACAATGTAGTTGGTTAGTCGATTAAGCAGCACAGCCAACAGGAGCCAAAATTTATGGCCGAGTGGGTAGCACTCATGTTTTGTTTTCAGGAAGTCTCAGGTTCAAACCTCGGCCCGGAAAGTGGCTATTCTGACTTGGGTTTTCTCGATGTTCCTTAGTCCCTCCAGAAAATACCCGGATAATACCTTGAAACGAGACCACGGCCGATTTCTTACACATTCTTTCGTATACAGGCTGTCCTAAAAATATTTATACACAACAACTTTGCTTACCGCTGTCAACTGTACCACGAAGCTAACGGTGGTCATTTAGAGCAATGGTATTCAACCTTTTTTGTTCGCGTACTCCCAGATATAATTTCTCTTCCAACTTTGTACCCCCAAAGTTGTTGGTGTATAATTCAAGTTATACATAGTATATAATCTACATCTAAAATAAATTAAATAAATTACATTACTGATTATTCAGTGTTTATCATAAAATAATATTTTTTTTTTAAATTTCACGTACCCCCGGGTGTACACTAGATTCGCTAATTCACCAAGTGCAATGCTGACGTATGTAATGATTTAGTTTATAATAAGTCTTCATTTCATTCATTGAATGTGTGTGTACATTTTTTTTGAGTCATCCTGCAATTCGACGCTATACAGAATTGTCTTGGTGTTAAATAAACCAAGAACAAAGGCGACCAGTAAAGTTTTTTGTGTTCTTTAGAGGGCTTGTTAGAAAATGAAGGCTTTATATCCTCGGCAACAAGATCCTGCGTGCTCCGTCATCCTGGCTTCAGGTCGATCAGTAGGTTGTTCAGCGTGCTCTTGTACAGGGTGATTCAAAAGTCTCCGTGCTCCAAAAGAACAAGTGTTGGAAGTGGGAAGGAATTCGAAAGTCCCTGTGCGCACGTGCTCCCTAGATGGCTTACTCGTCGTCCAGAACTTGTAATTTTCTTACACGTGTACAAGAATTTTAATCGCCCTTCACTTGATAATATTGACAATTCGACACGATGTAAGTAAAATTTCAATATTAATATTACAATTCCATATTAATGTTATTACATAATTTCTTGTTTATTTATTTGCATTTATATGTAATTTTTAACGACTCGACTTCAGCTGAATCTCTTACGTTAACTTTGAAAGAGGAACAAATAATTTAAAAAGATATGGGATTAAGTATTCATTGCCTGTTTTGAGGCATTTCTCCACCAATTTTCTGGAGGGACTAAGAAAAACCACGATAAATCTCAGTCATAATAGCCTTATTTCAGTCGGAATTCTGACTTGGTAATTCTTCAAACTTAGCAGGGTCACTAAGCATTACACTGCGTCACTTCGTTTGTAAGTTAAATTAAAACTGATTGAAACAATTATGAATGAAATCTCATTACAGCTGTAACACTTCTGGCGTATTTGCTATATGTATGGACCATTCCGAAATTAAGTAACGCCCTCACTCCAATGAATTTGGAAGCAAACATCATCAGAAGTTACACAACAACAGTAATTAAGTTTTAGTTTATAAGATTATAATTTTTAACTCTTAACTTTACACCTGAAGATGGTTCAATGTAACCGAAACATGTAGTAAAAAGTTGTACCAAATATGCAAATGATATTTTAATATCTTACGTATAAATTTTATTTATATACAATTGTGATTAGACGGAAAAAAACACGAATAATTAAATTTTAATTCACAATATGACGCAATTATATCAACTTATTTTACAAATAGTTCTCAGTGCCAATATGCTTCAGAAAGTATATATATATATTATATATATATATATATATATAATATATATATCAAGCCTATTTATTTAATAAACTCCATATCGAGTGCAGGGGTTGTTTAGCACGGAATCGGAAATGTGAAGATGGAGGTACGTGGAAACAGGCGGCCATGTCTTATTAGAACGCATTTTACATATGCTTTACTGCATAATTTGAAGAAAACCAGTAAAACGTCTAGACAAGACAGCCGATCACGTAGACGGGTTTCGAATCAGGTACCGCCTGAAGTGAAACGAAGCCCTGAGCCAGAGATGGTCATTTTGTTCTTAACGAATTCTCATAGACTGACTACTGCAGTTAATTTAACTCTATGGAATAGAATAT